AATAATAATAATAATAATTCACTTATATTTTACTTTTCCACTAGAAGAACCCAGCATGCTGTGTAAAGCATGATTGTAGAACTGTATTAGCAAAGGCTACAAGTATAACAACTTCTCTATGTAAGTTATTTCTCAAAGGCATCACATCAATAAGACAACACTCTTTCCTATTAGCCGATCTCAGAACTCAGTCAGCAGATTCAAGTTGTCAATCAGAAGAGAGTAGCATCTGGCCTGCCACGGATCTTGGTGCACACAGACGCAGCTCAGATGATCGGGAAAGGCCGAGTGGATGTGCAAGATCTGGGAGTGGATTACCTCACCATTGTGGGACACAAGGTAAGGATGTCCTCTGTTTGGTCTTAAGTGTTCTACAAGAAACTTCCTTGCATCTAGGTCATTTACCCTAAGGGTGATTGAAATGCTAACTGAATAAAAGAGTCAAATAAAAAAAAAAACTAAAGAAAAAAAAAGGAAAAAGTGTGGTCCTAGTGCAGATCTGAAAGGACGGGTAATAAAATGTATTATACCAGTGAAATCTCAAAAATAGGTGAACTTCATGACCTGTTGAGTCCTTCAGGCCTGTTTATGTGATTTTATTGGTGCAAAAATATTACTCACTTTTGGTTTTGATTAGGCAAGCACTTTCTAATTTCAAGTTTGTCGAATCTATCAGAGATTTAACTTAAACCAAGCAAATTTTATAGTGGATTATTTCAGAATTCTAGATATTTATAGGTTTAAACTTCCTGAAATAATAAATTTCATTCTATATTTAAAAATACACCTCTCTTCAGTCTTGCATGATTAAATGTTTTTATTGAAACAAATGTCTGTCTTTTAAAACTCACTTTAAATTTTTTCTTTGCATGACATAAAAGGGTCCCTTTGGGTTCGTGCACTTCAGAAATGCCCTGTGCTTCTTCCTAGATCAGGCAGGTGATTTCTGACACCTTCCCCCTCCAACAATATGTTGCAAAATCCCACAAATCTCTGCTTATAATCAAATACCTCTCTTAAAATGCATTCTGATTCTTCTTCTTCAACAACAAATCTGTTGCTTTAACAGGTTGTTTTAAGGGCTTTCATTGGTCAATCAAGCTCAAAAATGGCAGCACTTAAGGTCCATGTCCTTAACCAATTAGGTTGTGATGTGCAGTGCTGTAGTTACTTCCACCTCCTGCCTTGGAGATGGATGGCTCTGGTGTTCTTTTGTTAACTAAGTGGACTTACGTAAGAAGGAAAATAAGGCAGTCACTAAGGCATTGAGTGTGTGCGTATGTGTGTACAAAACACTTCCCTTTTCATTTGAGAGATTCTGTTTTGTTTTGTTTTTTTTACTCTCACAGACAAAGAATATGTATGAATACTCTTAAATAAGCAGTAAGGCCATCTCACACTGATCTCTTCTGAACATGGGAATTTAGTGCATTTAGAGCAGCAGTTCTTAAATACTGTATTGTTGAATAAATGCTTTTGTCCTCTTTGCTGGTATATTTGACTGTTTTGGCAGCTGTATTTTCTTGCAGACCAAGGGTGGAGGCTGCTTGAAAAGCTTTCCTATGATAATTGATATATCAGCTCTGAACAGTACCTTAGCTCGCACCTCAGTGACATACAATATGTACAAAGATAGCCATATAAATATAGCCCTGTGTCTCTATTGTCTAGTAGTGCTTGCACTTTGCCATACCAAGTATGATTGCACTGCCATACAGAAAGAGTTGAGTTTTAAAGTTGGCTTTTATTTACATCCTGAAGTGTCCATAAATGTACTCTGTATACAATTTAAAACTTGCTTTTTTGGATTTAATAGGACTGCAAAGATTCCTCCACTAGATGGCGGTCTGGGAATAGTTGTCAGTAAAATAGCCACCTTTCCACAAGACAGGATGAGCATTCTCTTTGTTTTTATGTCTTAGACATATACTACTGAAAGATTTGTGTGTGCGCAGAGACAACATGATAAGAGAAGGAAATATGCATTTGTTTTAATGTGTTCTCAGATCCTGTTAGAGAGCATGATATAGCCTTAAAAACTATCCTTTGCTCTACCTGGGAGCCATTTGATGTTCCAGATATTGGTGCATTCTTCTCTGCTCACAACCAGGCAAGATCTTTTGAAATGAGGAACGTTTCAGTTTGTATCCTTTTTCATGAAAACATTCAGTTGTAGTTTTCCACTGTTCTTTCATAGCAGTCACAGAAGAATTTATAAGTTAAACTCCTGGCATAAGGAGTTTAATGACTGTGACATTTGGGAGCATGCTTTTCATGTCATTTTGAATACACAAAGTCTGCAGTGTCTCTCATGTTCTTTGATTCTGATGTGGATACTGCGTTTTGTGGTTCCAATATATACCTGGCCACAACTGCAAGGTATCCAGTATACAGTGATGAGGGGGTCCCTGTTGTCCTTTGCTGATGGTAACATTTGTTGTATTTTTGTGGTGGACCTGAATACTGTTTGTAGGTTGTGTTTTTCAAAAGTTTGCCCATGCGGTCCGTGAGCCCTTTGATGTATGGCAGAAATACTTTATTTGTGGGTGGCTGTCTTTCCTCTTCAGTTTGGTGTTGTTGTTTTTTTGGATTGATGGCTCTTGTGATTTCATTCTTGGAGTAGCCATTTCCCTGTAGGGCCCAATTCAGATGGTTGAGTTTGGTGCTGAGAAAATTGAGCTTCACAGTTCCTATTTGCATGGCCTACCAGTGTTTTGACTATGCCTCTTTTTTGCTGTGGGTGGTGGTTGGAGTTTTTGTGTAGGTACCGGTCTGTGTGGGTGGGTTTTCTGTAGATCTTGTGGCCCAATAGGAGGTCAGTTTTGCGTATGACCATGACATCTAAGAAACGGAGTTGCCCCTCTATTTCTTTTTCCATGGTGAATTGTATACAGTGGTGCCCCGCATAGCGAGGTTAATCCGTTCTGGATTAACCTTCGCTATGGGGAAACATCGTTAAGTGGGACGGGGAAACCCATTGGAATGCATTAAACTTCGTTTAATGCATTCCAAATGGGCCCAAAACTCACCGGTCTCTGATGTTTCCCCATGTTGCTGCGGCCATTTTGGGTGTCCCGGTGGCCATTTTGGGTGTTCCGGCGGCCATTTTGGGTGTCCCGGCGGCCATTTTTAGTGTTCCGGCGGCCATTTTGGGTGTCCGGTGGCCATTTTGGAACCGTCGAACAGCTGTTCCCCCGTCGCAATGCGAGGATGCCCTCGCATTAGCGATGGGGAAATCCGCATTGGTATGCGGATTCTTCGTTAAACGGTGCACTCGTTATGCGAGGCACCACTGTATTTGAGTGGATGGAGTTGAGATGGTTTAGAAATTCTTCCAGTTTCTCTTCACCATGGTTCCAAATTGCAAAGGTGTCATCCACGTATTGTAATAGTTGTTTCTTTACTCCAACCGACAGTTTGCTTGCTTGCTTGATTATTTATGTATTTGTTTGTTTAATATTTAAACTTCAGTACTGCCCCATAGTACAACACAGTCTCTGGGTAGTTTACAGTAAAGTATACAAAGAAAGAAAGAATAAATAGAAAGCAGTATACAAATACATATTGTGAAAGAAAAAACCAGTCAGTCAATAAAAATAACTGGACTAGCTAACCTATCTTTAGATAAATAAACAATTTAGAATGACATTAGACATCACAAGTAAGATCACCACTTTAAACAGTTATGTTTGTTATTGTTGTTTGTAGTTTAGTCGTTTAGTCGTGTCCGACTCTTCGTGACCGCATGGACAAGAGCACACCAGGCTCTCCTATCTTCCACTGCCTCCCAGAGTTGTGTCAAATTCATGTTGGTTGCTTCGATGACACTGTCCAGTTATCTCATCCTCTGTCGTCCCCTTCTCCTTTTGCCTTCACAGTTCTGTTTATACTAACTTCTTAAAAATTCTTAGGGAAGGTACCTGACGAAATTGTTGGGAATTTGTTCCCAAGGTGTAGAACCACAACCGAAAAAGCCCAGTTTCTGATGTTCAGTCTTTTGGCCTCCCTTGGTGTTATTGTTTTTAATATCCTGGAATACAAAAAATGGGTAGAATGAGTAGTTGGTTTGTAGGACAGACATTCTAACAGATATTGAGGCTCTAAACTGTTTACAGGTTGATAGGTGATGATCAGCACCTTGAACTGAGCACGGAAACCAATGGGTAGCCAATGGAGACATGCCAAGACTGTCAAAAAATGGTCATATCTGTTGGTACCTGAGATCAGTGTGGCTGCCACATTTTGGACCAGGTTTCTGTACTGACCTCCTACATAGAGAGCATTACAGTACTCTATTTTGGAGGTTACCAAAGCATGAACCGCTGTTTTTAGACATTTCTACTCCAGGTAGGGGTGCAGCTGGGCAATGAACCAAGGTTGATGAAAAGCACTTTTGGCCACAGGAGATATCTGTGCCTCCATAGAGAGCTCAGTTCAAGAGTAGACCCACATTATAAACCCAGTCCTTCAGAGGGAGTGTAACCTTATTAAGGCCAGGGAAATGTCTCTCTAATCAGTCAGACGATCCTCCCAACAGTAGGATCTCTATTTTCAGTTTGTTTATCTTGTTCATTATCACTGCCAGACAGTGCTCAAGAACCAGCACTACATCACCTGCAGATGAAGAAAAGGAGAGAGCTTTATGTCATCTGTGTATTGATGACAATGAACTCCAAATCTCTGAATGATTTCTCCCAGTGGCTTTGTAAATATGTTGTCAAAGGTATCATTTTTAATTTCTATGTAGTCAGTGACTCTCAGTTTCCTATTAGATGTGTCTCCTTGTCTGCATTACTAAGTTAATATTGGAAGGGAGATCTTCAAGGAAACACACTCTATGTGGGCTGTGTCATCCAGAACACATACTAGCATCTTTGACCAATGGTTAAGCCACCATGGCTTAAATAGTTTCTTTGGTGGAGTCTACCACTTCCCGAGACAGTCTATTCTGCTGTCAAACAGCAATTACCATCAGGAAGTTTTAAGTAAAATCTTCCCTGAATTTTTTGCCCACTGCTTGAAAATCGCATAGTGATTGATTGCTCTGGCATTGTGTTTTATCTTTGCAGTTTTATGCCCCACGCATTGGAGCGCTGTACGTGCGAGGGCCTGGTGTCACCACTCCTCTCCATCCCATGCTGTTTGGAGGGGGGCAGGAACGGAATTTCCGCCCTGGGTAAGATGGCTGAGAGCCAGTTAACTTGTTTGGAGGCCATTTAGGGATACAGCCATGTGGGCCACACACACATAAAGTTAGTCATACTGCATTTCCTTTCTCTTGTAGAGCAAACATTTGTGAGAGACAGTACTGGAAAAAGAAAAGTGATATCATTTTTGGGATACTTTCTTGTGATTGTGAGACTTGTACCTCAAAGACCCATAGGGAAGTTACTGAAAGGCTAGGCTTTGAAAACCTTTCCTCTTTCTCTTTTGTCACTGGTTATTTTATACAAAATAGGAACATTTAACTGCTGGGGAGAAAAATATAGAGTGTACATCAAGTCACATTCATTACACAATACCACGAATACAATATGCACATGGCCAAATTCTTTGGAGTTAATGGTGGAGGGAAAGTAAATTGTTTTCCACTTTCAGAAAGTGTCTCCTGTTTTCCAGGTAGATGCAAAACTTTCTTTTCAGATTTTTTTATTAATAAGAACAGTTGATCCCATCATGTACTATGTCATCTTCAGTGCCTGCATGGTGTTAGCTGTCAAGTGACTCATAGTTGCTTCATTTGTGCAATTTTCATTGGGCTGTGAGAATAAACACATCCTGTTCTCTTCTAGGACTGAGAATACACCAATGATTGCTGGCCTTGGAAAGGTAAGCTCAGAAATAATAACAGAGATGTAAGATGAGTGTGGATGACATGTGATTGAGTAGCTTTCAAGGTTTGTTGTACTCTTTAAATACCATTCCATAAAGAAAAAAACACATCTACCTGTACTAGAAAAGTTCAAATTCGGACTCAACCAAATAAATCAAACAAACAGACAAAAGCAAAATCAGTACTTGTTTGATGCCTGACTCTTATGCCAGGTTAGAGCATGCCTTGTGCTATGTTATTTCCACATCCAGTTCTAAATTGAATTACTTTCAGGCCCCATTGTGTGCTTATTGATGGGAATAATAATCCTAGCAGATGGGCTACTAGAGATGTGGGAGAGTTTCCAGCATTCTGAGGATGCAGTTATTAAGAACTGCTTGAAAAAATTGAGGTTTTGATTCACTATGTATTCTTTTGAAATTTAAAGTCTTGCTGAATATAGCCCACTACCCTGATGCTGTACTATTTAGGCTTTTAGTGGTTGTGGTGAATAATTAGACCTTAGGTAAAGGTTCTCCTTGTCATTTAGTCCAGTTGTGTCCAACTCTAGGGCACGGTACTCATCCCCGTCTCTAAGCTGTTGAGCCAGCATTTGTCCGAAGACAGTTTCCGTGGTCACGTGGCCAACACGACTAGACACAGAACGCCGTTACCTTCCCACCGAGGTGGTACCAATTTATCTACTTGCATTTTTACATGCTTTCGAACTGCTAGGTTGGCAGGAGCTGGGACAAGCAACGGGAGCTCACTCTGTCACGTGGAGTCGATCTCATGACTGCTGGTCTGTGACCTTGCAGCACAGAGGCTTCTGCGGCTTAACCAGCAGCGCCACCACGTCCCTAATTAGTGTGAGCTAAAAATGATGCCTGTGCAATCATGGTTTCTGTCTTCCTTCGACAGCATCAGAAAGAGCAATCAAAAGAAGCTCTAAATCTGGAACTAGCAGAACAGCTTCTCTGGTGGTCTGATATAGAAAATCTATTAAGAGGGAAACCCCTCAAGCAACCGTCAATCCTTGTAATGATAAATGCCAGCTTGTCAGGATGGAGTGGACACTGCAGAGGCAGACAAAGCCATGCTTTGGGGTCCTGAGACAAGAAGAACCTACATATAAGCATGCTAGACATCTTAGCAGTGTTAAAAGCCTTCAAGGCCTTTAAGCCAGTCCTTCAGGGACAAGGTGGTGCAGATAGCCATGGACAACTCCATGACAATGTTTTACATAAACAGTTTAGGAGGTGGTTGTTGTGGGTTTTTTTGGGCTCTTTGGCCGTGTTCTGAAGGTCACAGTACACAAACCCTAGAAGCCCACAGAATGCAAAAATAAATAAATTTTACATTTTAAAATTAGTCTAGTTTTCACATTTAATTTTAATTTAATATTACAGTCTACTTTTCACATTTTAAATCCACACTGCAAGACCCATCAGAGCACAGAAACATAACTCCCCCACCTAGCCCTACCCAACCCCAAGCTACAAAAAACCCTGTACAGTACAGTAAATACTGTACAGTGAATGGACTCACACAGATCAGGCAGTCTCTCTGTTAAAAAAAGTCAAAAATCTAAAAAAAAAATTAAAAACCAAAAAAAAAAAATACAGTCCGTACAGTACAATACCAGGCAGTCTGAAGACTCTCTCCCTATCCACTCTCGAACTGCTGGGACGAGCGAGGTAGCAGACAAACAGCCTCTTCACTGGCCAACAGTCAACTGAAAGTTCAAATTTCGCTCTTTCCCCGCCTCCCCGTGTTTTTTTTCCGTTTGTATGTTGAAGCTCCATTCGCAAGTAGAAGCAAAATTTTGCGATCGGAGCTGTTCATAAGTTGGATTGTTCGTTAAGTAGAGGTTCCACTGTATTAAATTAGAACATTGGTATAACAAAGTATGGGACATTGCGTTAAATGACAAATTTGCTACTGAACTTAAGATGAAAAGAAGGGAAATAAATGTAAATATTTTTAGGCTATTTGAGGTAGACTGATTGAATTTGTATTAGTGAAAGGAAAGGGGAAAGCCTCTGAGCAACAATCAATACAATTTTGGAAAGGAGGTTTGTAATAAAATAATTGCTCCAAAAGGTCCCGTGGGTATGGGATTGTATTAGTAAGTATTTTGTATTGTTGTATTTGTTTTGGAAATTAATTTCTTTTAATTTAAAAAAAATCCCCAAAGGAAGCCTTTAATCAGTGGCAGTTTCTGACTCATGATTTTATCACTATTGTGCATATGGAATTATGCAACAGAATTTCAGCCCTTGCGTCTTGCCTTTGTACCATTAATTTATATACCCTTTGAATAGCACTTGTATTTACTTTGTAGCAACTTAACATTTAATATCATATTTTTGACTATTCCTAAAATTTGTTGATGATTTAATATACTGTATTCCTAAGCTACAGTTAGTATATTTTTATGATAAGCAAAGAATGGCCTGGTTATAATGAAGCAGTTGTGCCATCTAGTTTTCTTTTCATCTTCTTTTTTTTAGGGTTTTTGTTATTAGTTTTAATATTTCTATTTTATGAGATTTATAACGCTTCCAGAGTAGTGCTGCGACATTAATGGGAGCGGGACAATCAATCAATCAATCAGTTGTCTCTCGATCTTACTTCACGAGTAGATCGTTTATCCACCTGATTCAACGTTGACTGACATAAGGTGTTTAAAATTTTGTGCACTATGTAGAGAGTTCCCTTATCTTTGAGAAGCACATGTGTGTCTAAACTTTCTAAATTGTATTTGTATATGTTATGGTTTTAAAGTTCATTATTTTTATTTAACATATACCATATTTTTCTGTAATAATATCTAATTATTTTTTCCTAAAATAGAGGAAAATTTGAGGGTCATTTTATACATGGAAGGAGGCAGTTGCGCGCGCGCTCAGGCACCTCTTGCTGCCATGGCTGCCCAAATGCCTCTTCTAGAGCTCACAGCTTCTCCCCTTCGCTGGCTGAGGCGGCGGCAGCAGCAGGAGGCGGAGACGGAGGTGAAGGAGCATTCACACACGCTCAGGCGCCTCTTGCTACTGCCTCCCCCACCTGCCCAGTCACCACCTCCAGTTGGACTGAAGAGGTCAGCTCACATCGCCACCTTGTCCCCTCTGGTGGTGGAGGCAAACAAGCACTCACACATGCCTCTTCCGGCTGCCGAGCACTCACACATGCTTGGGCGCCTCTTCCGGCTGCCGCGGTGGCAATCGTCTCCTTAGGGCAGGGGAGAAGGCGGCCGTGAGCTGGAGGTGAGCCCCAGCAGTTGCACTGGAGGAGGTGATTGAGTGGGCGGAGGAGGCAGCAGCAGCTGAGACGGAGGTGGAGGAGCAGTTGCCCATTAACTGCTCCTCTGCCTCCATCATGGGTCAAATTAAGGGGTCGTTTTATACATTGGGGGAGCGTATACACGGGAAAATATGGTATTTGCTTAGACTCTGGGGCACATAATCTAATTCTTGGAGGCAGCCACCCAACACAGGAAATTCTGATTCAACATCCTGTTCTAAAAAGGATTAAATACTGAATCACCTGTGCTATACTTTTAACATAATTTTAACTTTTTATTAATTAATTGTTGCATAATAAAAATATATTGATTATATATCCATCAGAACTAATTTTCCCACCACCTACAAATGAGGAAAATATGGGACACAGTCCCTCACGAAGCATTCTTGGAAGAGAAGAAGTAGCTTTAAAGTCAGGCATAAAAGACAACTAATGATCTTCCATTCTCGTTTGATTAATAACATTTGTTACTCATTTCAGCACTGTGCTTAAGCTCCTGCTACATTTTCAACTATATGGAATGGGACACTCTAGGGAGGAAATGATTATTTTCCTCATGGTTCAGGTCGAGACTTACCTTGTATCTACTATGAAACATGGTTTTCTCTGGGTGATGCAGAGGAGGAAACACTGTAAAGTCTATTTTTGCTGTCTTCTTCTGCAGGCTGCAGAGCTGGTTAACCAGCACTGTGAGGATTATGAAGCTCACATGAGAAAGGTTCGGGATTACCTAGAAGAGAGGCTTCAAGTGAGTTCACTTCTTTGATTGTTTTCTATAGAGGGGTCTGCAATCTTTCTGTGAAGGAGCAGAGTATTATCTTGGGGTGCTGCTGCTGCACTGTGGTGATTCTCATTCACCTACCCAGTCTCAGGATGAGGGGGTTCTCCCTCAGGATAAGACATGGGCACTTCATATTAATTTCCCTGGAGAAATGAAGCCTTCAGTGTGGAGGTGGGACAGGGAGCCTCTCCCCTCAGCTGATAAGTGGTCGGCTGTGGAGGAAGGACTAGCAAACCCCCTGCTAAGATTGGCGAGATGATGATGATGACAGAACTGAATGCTACTGAATGCTAGAGTGGTCGAAATCACCAGATAGGTGGGGTATAAATCGAATTAAATAAATAAATAAATAAATAAATAAATAAATAAATAAATAAATAAATAAATAAATAAATAAATAAATAAATCTGGAGCCCAGTAAGTAGCCCAGGCAATTCTGAGGAGTAGGATTGGGCCACGGTGGTACCTGTGGTGCCATGGCTTGTATTCATTTCTCCAAGGAAATGAATATGAAGTGCCCATATTTACTCAAGGCTACGTTGCTGAGAAGTCCCAGGCACACCATATTCCATTTTGCTGCCCCCAATAATTCTATTTTATTTTATGGGGGACCTTCAATAATTACTTACAACTCAGCAGAATGACCAAGTGGATAGGACTGGCCAATAGAGCTGCCGCCCCCTTCTGTTACCTTGCAGGTTTTATAGAGTTTATTGAAAGAACACATAAAAAGAAGAAAAGAACTAAACAGATCGTTGCCAATAAAAAAAACAGTTCCAGAATCACAATGTGGTTACAGATTCTAATATAGGAAAGGAAACCCTGAAGATTATATTTTACCTTGTCTTAGAAGAATAAGTTTCCAGCTTGCCTGAACAAGCCAGAATCATGTTAGTGACACTGACAAGTCGTGTGAGTCAGGGTGCAGCAGCAAAACGCCTACGTTGACTTCTTAGCTTGTGGCTTGAAATTTATGTCTATAGAGTTAATGCTGGCATGCATGTGTAATAGGATATTAGTCCCTGCATGTGTTTCATTTATGTTTGTATATAAGATTTTGAAATGTTTTTTTCATGTTGTAAAATCGGTAAGCCCATAATACAGGAGGAAGTAGCAATACTGACCTGATATTTCTTGAAAATGTGGCTTTCACCTTCTAGGCTGTGTTTGAAAAACAAGGAGTCCGTTTTAACTGTCGATTGAAAGGCTCTAAACGACTTTGCAACACATGCAATTTCTCCATATTGGGCTCAGGACTGCAAGGTAGTTTTTATATTTCTCAACTTGTATCGTTCCTACAAGGCAGAATGGAGAACTTGTGGCCTTCCAAGTATTGTTGAAGGCGACTTTCCACAGATGAGGTGTTGTAGGAGCAGTGTCATCAACTGAATGAGGATGTTATTCATTCCCCACATCCACCCCCGGACCAATACAAAATAGTATATTAATTCTACTTATAGACCTTAGAGCTACACTTCTCTTTAAATGGGCCTTCCTTCTGTCCTGAAATGTGCCATTCTATTATTTAAAGAGCCAATAAATGTGGTTTTGTTTATGGTTGCATAAACAAACTGGAAAATATTTAAATGTTTTAAGAAACATGAATTCAGTGTTTTTAAAGGAAGTATTCTGATCATGAAAATTGTGGAAATGATCTGCAGTTTTTATACACAAGGTCTTACTTTCACCATTCGAAACATGTTTCCTGGATCATATTTGTCTCTGATAGTTTTATACAAGACACTCATTGCCACTTAATTCCCCAGTGGGACCACTTAGACTTTCAGTGAGCTATAGCCCATTCGGAGCAATAGGGCTTCCTTCTTACAGGCTTTAGGTGGCAAATCTATACTTCACAGCCCCCTGTTTTAACAGGTTTCCTCAAGAATGTTATGTATAACCAAAAATGTATTACTTTTTTCCACTTAAATTTTGCTTTAGAACAGCTAACTTTCTTGACAGCAGGATTAATTTCTGTTACACACCAAAGATGGTTTGGATGTCTGTGACAAGCTGCCTAATACTTACGTACCACAGATCTCTAGCATTAGTTGTTTATTCCACCTGTTTCCAAGGTGTTTATGTAATTAACACTTAGAAAGGTCATTATCCTGTTAATAATGCAATTGTCATCTTCCGTAACCAATATCGCTCTGATCATTTCTCCACAGCCATGGGCGTTGTTTATATAAACCTCTGGTTTAAATACAGTATAGCCTGAAGAAGTGGATTGTTATACATAAATTAACACTTGGGGAAAAATTATTAGCATGAAAGGTGTCTGTTTTTTTTTTTTTTAATTTGACATATTTACTATCGGGGTTGTTTGAAAATCAACAGATTTTGCACTTGCTTTTGGTAGCTCACTGTGAGTGAGGAGCTAGTGTGAGCAAAATGAGATGGGGTATTTTTTCTATTTTTTTCCATCGGTAATCTTATTTTTATTTTAATCGTTATCACAGGGGAGATAATGATAGCAAGTTCTGTGGATTTCTTCTATACTTAGATCTTGATGAAGTTCATAAAACTGAGAGGAAGCCTGTGTCTTGTCTTCTCTGCAGGTCGGCTGGTGCTGTCTCGCTGTAGGACTTTGCTTGCCAGTGTTGGTGCTGCCTGCCATTCTGAGAATGGTGACCAGTAAGGAGCTACATGGGGCAACTGAGCATTCTGTAGTGGGAGGGAGATAGTTCTAGCTGAGGTAGAAAAGTGAAAATATATAGCAGTCTTTGAAAAAATTGTTACTGATGACATGTAAATAAAAAACATAAGAACTATTCCTAGTTCTTATGCACCTCCAAGCTTGAAGCAAAAGATTTGCGCAGGTCTCAAGGATTTCCCCAGTCTCACCCTCTTCCACATTCACAAGCCTTCTGCTCTAGGAATAAACTGCCAGGATCACAGTCATACCATGGATCAGGTCTTATGTGGAGGCAAGAACCTCTCTTTAATGTTAAGAAACCACAACAGAAGGCAGCAGGACAAGGTACTCTCCTATTATGTGCCTTCACAAAGCTGGCTTTTATAAGGCCCGAAGAGAGTTCCACATTCCATCCTTTTATCCTAGTTATGCAAGTTTCCATCATATGAACTGATTACTCCTTTCCTCCGTGTACCAGCCAAAAGAAAAAGAAAGCAAAAATGTGCTGCTTGTATACCACTTTATAGTGTTTAAAGCATTCTCTGGGAGGTTTCCAATTTTAATTATGTAAGCTACACACTGCCCCACCAATGAGCTAGGAATTCAGGTTACTGATTTCAGGATGGAAGCCTGACTCAGCTTTGAGCCCGCTTCCTGAGCCTGTCAGGATCAAATTAAGTTGTGAGAAGAGTCTTGTCTGCAGTACTACAATGTGACCACTCTTTATTTCCAAGATCCACTGACCTTTTAAGACTAGGATGTGAAAGAGAAATAATAGTGCAGCTGCTCTTATTTCTTAGATGAAAAAGGCAGCATATGATCAAAGAGCTAGCAGCAGGGGTTATTGATAGATAGCTCCTGCCACAGACAGTTGCCAGCTGCTCAAGAACTTCACCCACTGTAGAAGGTGATCAGCCTGCTTTAACACAATAAATTACCAAATGTCTTTACATCTGAGTGAAGGTCACTTCCCTTTCAGTTCTGTGCAAGCTGGTGTTTTCCATATGCTCACTCATGTCCTTCTTTTTCTTCATCCTCTGAAAGCCTGCTGTTTTGGAACTCAACAGCAATGTGAACTAGGTAATCAGTGTCAGCAAATGGTTTTGCTCTGAAAGGAGAGAGCGCCAGAGTGTGAAAGATCAGAAGACTGAGCTACAGCTTGCTTTCAACAGCAATGTGAACTAGGTAATCAGTGAAGTACCTTGACTAAAGATGTCAGCAAATGGTTTTGCTCTGAATGGAGAGAGCGCCAGAGTGTGAAAGATCAGGAGACTGAGCTACAGCTTGCTCTCTTGCTGTTGCTTGTTGCATATTTCAGATGCCAGAGAGAGCAGGGAAAACCTAAGCACCTTACATTTTGTATCTTGCCTTTGACCATTTTTCCAAAATGCTTAGAGGTCCTGTAGTACATTCAGTGCTCACAGAATCATTTTTAAAATTCTCGTATGACTTTATTCGTATAGCGAGTTGGTGCCCAAGTTAGTCGGGTATGCAGCTCTGGAGCCATATTTGTAGATGGGATATGACTAGAGTCGAGATTTCTTCTTGCATATCTTCATGCTCCAGAAAAACAAATATGTGGGAAATGGTTTTCAATATTGCAGGATTACATTTTGGAAGTGAGTGCCAAGTGGTGGTTGCATTTGTATTCCACTCTTCCAAGGAAGTTAGGGTCCAGCCCATGGTTTATGCACCTTGTTTTATCCTCACAACAATCCTGTGGGCTGAATTGAGAGATAGTGACTGGCCTAAGATCACTGAGAGAGTTTTATGGCTGAGCAGTCCCTCAGTCTTAACCTGACACAATATCCATTGTACCATTACTTGCTTCCCCACTCCTCCTCATCCTCACAGCAGTCCTGTGAAATAGATAGGAATAGGACGATCAGTGTGTTTACATGTGTTCATGCACAAGTCTGTTGCATCCCAGTTTTTCATCAGTCTGTAATTTTTTAATTGAAAATACGTGAAAATCAAATTCACATGTGAATACAAATATCTTTTTCCACAGGATATGCATTGTAATGCATTTACTCCTAATGTACATAATTTTAAATGCCTTTACTCATCAGTAACACATCTTATACTCCTTTTAGTATATTTTGTTCAGCTGTTTCACAAAATTGTAAGAAAATGTGAAACTTAAAAAGGTATCTATGTGCATTTGGTCCTGGAAGTACACTGGATTGGTTCAGTTAAAAATCCATAAAAGTGGATAATCTCTTCAGGCATACCTAGGAGATAGAAATGGAAAAGCATGTAATGGAAGAGTGTTGCCTCAGCACCTCGTCTCCTAAGCAGAACTGGTTACACCCTTTTTTAAGAGGGATGTCAGTGAGAGTATAATACTAGGGAGCCAGAGTTCTCCAAAGCTTGACAGTTTATGCATCTGGGCATTAACTGAGCGAAGGGGCCTTTCTGGCAATAGTAGTACAGAGACTTTAAAGTATTTAGCTTAATATTTTATGAATTGTTAGTCACCTCACCACACATCTTTCACATTTGTGAGGAATATGGGTCTAGGTTTTCTCACTTGGTAAGTTAAAGAAGTTTAGAAATGGTCATAGCTAGGACTGGGGTTTTTCAACTTTTTACTTTTCTCAAACATATTGTAGTAAACATACCTTAAAGGCTTAAAGTTTTGCTCTATTTGTTCTCCAGGCCATCTGCAATCCTGCTGAGCTGTGGAATTCCTTACAATGTGGCACAGAACGCCTTGCGCCTCAGCATAGGCCGTGATACCAGCAAGGAAGATGTGGACCTGATTGTAGAAGACCTGAAGCTGGCTGTGGCCCAGCTGCAGTAGGCCAGATTCTCGCCAGAGCCCGTGAGGGCATTTTTTTTTTTTTACTGATTTCCCTTTGATTTAGTGCCACTTACATTTGACAAAATAATTCCTAGTTATTATCAGTTCTTGGCCATTGAATTGCTGCTGTACCATCACTAATTTTTCCATGGCCACCAAATGCACTAGCCATCTTGACCCATAGTGACAGCTGTTCTTGCTTCCAGAAATCAGTGTCCACTGAGTGCAGTCACTGTATTTAGGAAGCTGCACCTCTGACTTTTAGGAAATAATGGGAAATGCTTCCAGACATATGTTCAAGTCTTGAGACCTTTAGATGGATTTGGAACAGTGGGCAAGCATTTGCTGTGGTACCTGGAAATGGCTTGAATCCTTTGATATTCCCCCTTTCCAATTCCCATTTGCAAGGAACAAAAAGCAATTGAATTCATCTGACCCCCCCTCCATGTGAGCCCATAAGGAACATGCAGATTACCTCCTGCAGCAGTAGCAGACAACTGCATAGTTGCTCTGATACTGCACTGTATTTAATAGAGCTACACAGTGGAACAAGAATTAGCAATGGACTATCAGAATTAAAGAGCAAATTTGGCAGCTTTTGCTTTGTTTAAGAACCAATATTAAGGTTGTAGAGAACCTGCGACTTTTCCACTAAGCTTACATTAAAGCTCTAGTTTGCTTTAATGTATGTAAAGTTCTAGTAAAGTGATGATGAAAGATCTGAACCAGGACTAGTTGCTGTCAGTTTCTTTCCAAGAGAAGCCATAGACAGGCCTATGGTTACCGCATGAAAGGATGGGGGACCTTTGCTGCAGCAGAGTTGCTGTGAAAGGCAGTTGCCCTAGAGCAGCCTGTTCTCTCTTTTCAGGGAGAGGCAGCTAGCACTGATCCAGTGTTACTACTAATCTTGGCTGTGAGGAGGAGGAAGCAATCCATGTAGATTTTGTGTTAGGGTAAAGATGAGCTTTTCTGACTGAAAATAATGTAGAAATAATGTGCTGCACCTTTCCATCAGAATAGCAGTATACACAACAAGTTGAGATGTGGAATATTTAAGCAAACCTATTTCTTCTACACACTTCTCTTTCTTTTGTAGTGGTTTAGGTGTCTGGCTACAGAACCAGAGGTTGGGAGTTCAATTCCTCAGGGAGCCTCCTTGACAGGGGCTAGGCTCAATGATCCATAGGGTCCCTTCCAGCTCTTTAGTTCTAAGATTATTATAGGGAGAATAGACAGTTGGTGTTCTGTTTGAAACATGAAGAAACCCTAGCCTTTTGTTACAAGGGAGGAGACTAGAGAGGGCAAAGAGAAGCAAAGCTTAAAGTCTCTCTCCCATTTTGTTTGATCCTTCCAACCTTATATTAGATTCCTGAGGTTTCTGTATCCCTTAAAGAAGCAGGAAAGTTATCAGTACAGTCGTGCCCCGCATAGCGACGATAATCCGTTCCGGAAAAATCGTCGCTATCCGGATTTGTTGCTATGTGAAAAGAAAGGGTCCCTTCCAGCTCTTTAGTTCTAAGATTATTATTATAGGGAGAATAGACAGTTGGTGCTCTATTTGAAACATGAAGAAACCCTAGCCTTTTGTTACAAGGGAGGAGACTAGAGAGGGCAAAGAGAAGCAAAGCTTAAAGTCTCTCTCCCATTTTGTTTGATCCTTCCAACCTTATATTAGATTCCTGAGGTTTCTGTATCCCTTAAAGAAGCAGGAAAGTTATCAGTACAGTCGTGCCCCGCATAGCGACGATAATCCGTTCCGGAAAAATCGTCGCTATCCGGATTTGTTGCTATGTGAAAAGAAAAAGCCCATAGGAACGCATTAAACCCACAGTTATGCGAAAATCCTTCATACGGCCACCATTTTTGCTGCCCGGTATGCGATGAATGGGCACGAAAACACTGCGGGCAGCCATTTTTTCCCGGTGGCCATTTTGGAACAGCCGATAAGCGAAACAGCAAAAAACAAAAAATCCGTCGCTATGTGGATTCATTGTTAACCAAGGCACTTGTTAAGCGAGGCACCACTGTAAATTGTTTCGAAGGTAGTGTCTGGGTGCTCATCCACATCAGCGCAGACATCCAGGTTCAGGGAAAGGCAGATATATATGCCATTGTCTCATTGCAGAGGACGTCCCCTCTCCTAGAACATCAGCGTTACCTTTGTTTTGTTCTTCAGAATCTCTTGTGTTTTATGCCACAGGAATAACAACTCTGCGCAATCAAGAGAGATTGCAATCTCTGCCATTCCATTAACAGGCCATCCTCAAATGGAAGAGTACTAAGGTGTTGGTTGTATTTTGCTTCCCATCAGATGAGTTCAGGCTTTTCTGAAAGGTAAAGAACTTTGCCAGGCTCCTGTCTCCCTGTAGCTGGTGCTAAAATGCTTCAGAGAATTAATCTGGGAATTAATGTGGGAACCAAATTGTAACACTCCAGCTTCTCCTGGCACCTGGACTGATTCTGCATATCTGATTGCTTTTTGTTTGTATCTGTGGAAAGAAGATCCAGAAGACACTTGTGGATCAACTCTCATAGGAAAATTACAAAATATTGCTGCTCTGGAGAATGTGTTGCTAGCACCCATTGATGGGAAATGACTGAAGAAGATTACCAGGAATAAGAGAAATGTGTTGAAAATCTTCTTTGTTGCCATCTTATGAGTTTTCCACGGTGGAAGAAATTCGAAGTAGACAAATGTGGTCTTGAAATGTGTGCCTACCATGTCACCTTCTTGTTTTACTACCAGTTGAGTCGATCTCATTAAGGTTAACAAGGGATCACAACTAGTTTCCTCTTCTGCTATTTTGTGAGGAGTAGTCCATTGGAAGCCAGTTCTTGACCTTTTAGACAGTCCATATTGTATATTTTAGCTTTTAAAATCTGAAAACAGTGGTTAAATTGCTAAATTAAAAATAAATGTTTACCTATTTCAATGTTACTTTGGAAAGAAGTCTCTAACTGCAACATAGTATTAATTAGGTATTCACAGAAATGTAGGTTTTTAGCATAGAAAAGCAGCAGCTGTTCAGTGAGTATGTGTGTATGTTTACCAGTCTCAATTCTAATCTGAGGATTCTCTCCTTATGCACTCCTTTTGATTCCCACTCATAACATCTCTCCTCTCTGGGGCCTGGCTTTGCTTGTTGCCTCTGCTGTGGGTTCCTTGAACAGAGGCAGCTAAACTGCTGATATGACAGATTTTGTGACTCATTCAAGGAATGGAGAGAAAGCTAGTGTTTCAGATACCTTGTGCCCTTCAACTGTTTCCCTTGAAATACGTCTGATTATTAATGTATTATTATTAGATGTATGAAGTACATCTAATTATTAACAATAACCAGTGGTAGTATGAAGAATTGTGACTCACAGTCCCACTGCATCTCTTAACTAGATTGGAAGAATGGGCAGTTTCCTCTACAGTTTCTGTCAAATGGCTTACTCACTGGTATTGACTGGGGTTGCAGTCCCAGGGTGGCAGTTTTAATAAAGGTGTAGCTTGGAAAACCTTCTGTTTTGGACTATAATCCCCCAAACCCCACTATGAGTATGAGGATTATTGGAGCTGTAGTGAGTAACTTTTCCAAACTCTGGATGAAGACTCTGGCTTCCTGCCACTTTTGCGCAACTTGTGAGCACTGCATTGACCAATCTACCCTGTTTCCCTGAAAATAAGACCTAACCTGAAAATAAGCCCTAGTAGGATTTTTCAGGGTGCTCGTAATATAAGCCCAACCCCAAAAATAAGCCCTAGTTAAGTGAAACACCGCCCTCCACCATTGTGCAATGCAGAAGATGACAGACTGTGTTTGAATAAATGTAAATTGTTGTACATGAAAAAAATAAAACATCCCCTGAAAATAAGCCCTAATGCATTTTTGGAGCAAAAATTAATATAAGACCCTGTCTTATTTTCGGGGAAACAGGGTACAGTAATTGAATTTCCATGCTAGTGGTTTGAATTATTTTCCAATCTTGCATGTTGATGATGAGGCTTTGCTGGTGGTGTTGGGGGAGGTCACAATTCTGGTATTCTAAGAGACTGCCTTTTCTGTTCACACGTCAGTTGGTTCACCAACCCTCATAACTCCTTTTTTAGCAGTCTCTGCACTGTAACACCCGAACCTCCATTTTGTTTCTAGTACTGCAGAGAGAGAGAAGAGGTATAAAGACCAATTGTACCAGCTTCCAAAGTGAATTCATATGGGCCCACCAAATTTTTGTTGCATTATAGTACAGATTTTATGTCGAAAGCCTAGTCAGCTATGACTACCTTAAAATATTTTCTGCCTGGCTAATGTCTGAAAAACAGACCAGCTCACAAGTATTTAAAAGTTGGCTGTTCAAACATAAATTTGAAATCTTCCAGCTTTAACTAGATTTCAACATTCTGTGAGTTGTCTATGGGAGAGAAACATTATGAATATTACGGAGATCAGTTTAACTAAACTTTATGCAATTTCACCTGGTCTTCCAAATGCAGAACTTGAAACCACAAGGTGTGACACTTATCTTTGCATGTTGTTTGTTTGATAACAGGAGAAGCCAGAGACAGCCATGCTCATTAAGAGCAGTTTACTTGCTCCATATAATACTACAGTATCTGAATTGCTGGTGCAATCTAAGGCAGATCTAACTTTATGAGTGGTGCCGCTTGTAATCTAAGGAGAGCTGCTAGCCTGCTACTTCAGATGAGAGTTCCATGCATTGTATACATTCATATGTAGCCAAGGGCTCTGTGAGTGGGACATGCAGTTTGGAATGCAGGAGTAACAAGTAATCAAACAAAATGCATTATGAGTGGGTTTGAAACCATTATTAGTTCACATGAAAATGAGCTAATCTGCAGCAGAGCTGGAGAGTAATTCTTCTAAAGTAATACATTTATGTTGCTTGTTCCTCCAAACAGTAACCCATTAGCACTTGTTAGTATGTGGCAAAAGAAATTTGTATTCTGACTGCTTGTAACAGTACTTAGTACTTTTCTTATGTTTCCTGTTCCTGGTGGGTTGGATTGAGAATTCATGCGAATGGTTTGAAATTTAACAAATTGCACTAGAAGGTTTGTTTAAAATCTGTTCAAATGTCCTTTGAAAGTACCTAGAAAATGCTATGGCTTTTATTCACTAATAAAGTTCAATCCTATTTGTTACAGAACTTTTGGAATGTGATTTCATTACACCTTTATTACCCCAAAAACTGCCCAGCCACAGGTGGTTATTAGGTATTTGTGATTCATTATCTCCAAATACTGATTTGTGGTGCAACCACAGGCAATGCAAATAAAGTCTAAATGAAAAGAAAGTCTGTTCCCTCAAACAACAAAACAAATGTGGAGGTGATATTCCCATAGGACTCTTGCTCTTAACAGGACAACTCGGGAAATTTGTCTGCAGTGCAAAAGGAATAGCAAAAATTAATCTGCATAATTATTTGCTAATGTGATTTACATTGACTTTGTTACGAAGTATTTTAAGGGATGGTCTAGATGTTTCAGAGCTTGGGAACATGATGAAAACAGCTGATTGCACATAATTATTTTTTTATTCCTTGTAAGGAAAGTGTGGTATTGACATTTTGGCTCTATAACAAGCCTCTTTATAAAAACACAATGGAATGTGAGCATTTTCCCTCTTTAGTGACAGTGCAGCAGACTGGAATACTAACTTTTAAGAAGTAACCATGTTAGTCCGTACAACCATACCAGACAAAAACAAAAATGAGGCAATGGCAACTAAAAAGGCAAAATAAAAACCAAAAATGTTGTGGCACCTTAAAGATTGTTACGTTTCAGTGTGAGCTTTATAGATACATCCATTTTTGTATCCATGACAGCTAACATTGAAATACAACAATTAGTCTTGAAGATACCACAACTTCTTTGTGTGTGTGTTTTGTTTGTTTTTCTTTCTTTTGGTAGGCTTTGTGTTTCATTTTTCTGTTTTTGTCTGATATGGAATGCTAATGTCTTCGATTCTGGTGAATTGTTGAATTCCCTTGTAAGAATGGCTGGTTGTCAACATTAAAATTTTCAAATATCTAAAGTTCTGTTTACAAAAAAGTATATAATTGTTGCTAAGGTTTTTATTTTATTTAAAAATGACCCATGATAAGACCCAATTTCTTCAGCTAGATTTAATGGGTACAGCTATTCCCAGCATCCACAATGTTCTGCCTGCCTGCCTGCTAGGGAGCTGTGAAATACAAGAGGCCTGTTTAGACAAAAAAAAAAGTGAAGGTTCTAATTCAATATCATTAACAAGGTGGAATACACAGGTGTTCAAACTGAGACTTAAAAGCAGAGTATTCAGCATCCTTTCTTTGGACTACTAGTTTTGCTTTATCCTGTAACTGTTTGCTTTTTTTAAAAAAATGCAGATTATTTCTGTCCTGCATGAACAGATCTATGAATTATGGTAAGGTATTACCCCAGAACAAATCAAATTATTTTTCAGCCCTATTCTTATGGGTAAAGATCTGCAAAATAAAATCTTTTCAGTATTCCCAAAGACGTGGCATTAGCAGTATTTATTTATTATATGAGAATCTTAATGATTTGAAGCAAAAGACAGCCACACTAGAAGTATATACAACATTGTATGTAACAGAAAAGATGCATCATTGCGTCTTTTCTATTTACATCTACAATGATTATGAGTGCATGCATTATAAAGATGTTATACTAGGAAACCTGCTCATTATTTCAAAAAATATTAAGGTTTGCTTTTCATTTAATCTCATCACTTTTAACCAAAAAATATTAAGGTTTGCTTTTCATTTATTAATAATCTATGATTGAGTTGTACATGAAGAAGGAGAGCTAATAAAATGCCTAATTCTGTCTGTAGCTTTCAGGTGTTCTTTCCTGCCAGCCATATGCCCCAGTTTCAAGCTCCCCTGCAGAACATATGCTTCCTCCCGTACCTGACCAGGTAACCAGAGACACACAGCATCTGCCTAGTACATAAACAACAGACTCGGAGAAAGTAGGACCTTCCTGTAAAGACAACAGCAAGCCTCCTGGAGATGGGAGATCATAGGGCTATTTTAGCTGCCAAGAAAGGAGACTTGACTACCTTGGAAAAGCTACACATAGATGGTACTCTGGGCCGAAGCATCACAGACTCTTTAGGAGCAGGCCTGGTCCATCATGCATCTCGAGCAGGGAGGCTGGAATGCCTCAAGTTTCTGGTACTGCAAGCAAAGCTTCCCGGGAATCAGAGAGCAAACAATGGTGCAACGCCAGCACATGACGCAGCAGCCATGGGTAACTTGGCAGAACTGCAGTGGTTGATCAAAGATGGAGGGTACAACAGGCAGGTAAGGCGGCTGCTTACCAGGAGTGAAGTGGAAGTTGCATGTAGCTAGTTAAAGTGTACAGTATGTGCAATGTTTTTGTTTGCAGATTTGCTTCTGGGTGTACAAAGAATGCCAGCAATCTCTGCTTCCAAGCAGCCCTTCAGCTTGGTACAACAGGCAGGTAAGGCGGCTGCTTAGCAGGAGTGAAGTGGAAGTTGCATGCAGCTAGTTAAAGTGTATGTGCAATGTTTTTGTTTGCAGACTTGCTTCTGTATGTACAAAGAATGCCAACAATCCCTGCTTCCAAGCAGCCCTTCAGCTTTGTCTGTCAGTAGCATTCAATATCATTCACTCAAGGGGTACTGTTATCTAGTTCCTCACCATGGGGCTTGTGCACTTAGAAATATATGGCATGCTGCTCTCTCCTAAAACATACACTGCATCACCCACAGGCTCTCTGTCACTGCACACTGGAGTGTCCAGGGAAGAGGGCAGAGTCTACTGTAGCAGCTGTCTCCACGTGTCAGAGAGCAAAAAGAAGGCTGGCATGCTTTGGACACCACTTGAGTGGCAATAAACATGTCACCTGTCTCTAGTACCCCAGCTTCTGAGAATCCAGTTCCTATCTTTGTAGCCCTTGCTGTTGCTTCTCTGTTAGGCTGGAGTACAGCTAACCAAATTCTTTTGTTACCTGAGGGATTCACCCCACCCTTCACCAGACACAGAGAGCAAGGGCTAAGTGAGCTATATCAACAGCTGATGCAGAAAACCCAATAATCTCCCACCCCTGCCCCAGGAGAAATAATAAAGCAAATAGCTGACCATTTTTTGCCCTTTTGTGGCATCAAAAGCCTGCTGCTTGAGGGGGATACTTCACTTTGCCTAACACTTAGTGTCACCCCTTAACTGGAGTGTCATAGGATTTGGGAAACTGGCTTTAAAGACATACAGAGTAGAGGTGAGCTTCATCTGTGACTATATGTGCTGGCAACAGAGATAAGAAGAAACTAGATAAACAATAACACGGAAAGCATAACAAAACTGGTGCTTGTCTTCCTACTTCTAGATGTCACCATGTTGGAATGCTTTATGACTTATTCATTCCCATGATGAGAGCATGGAGTGGGTTCCTGCAGAAAAATACTTGCTTCCCTCCAGCACCAATTCAGCTGAAAGCTCTTAAGTCAAAGCCAAACCCATATGCTGACACTGGAACTCGAAATCTGTTAGTGTATGAGAGACATGATTCAAGCAAACATTTGTGCCTGAGTAATCATACTGGCAACCAAAGACCAGAATCCTGTTGTTTATTTATTGTGAGTGGAAAGGAAATCACAAAAGCTACCACTGTCAATTAACAAGGTGTGAATCATATGTTTTTTGTGTGCCCATTCACATAATATGCACTTTACTAATTGATTACAGAGGCTTCTGAAATTGTCATTTCATACACAGGAAGCCACAGGGTTTCTGAACAAAGAAAGTGCTTAGCTCCCAGTGACCAGTTACAAAAACAAACTTATTTGCAAACTACAGGAGGCATACAACATGCTCTCACAATCATATATTCTGAATATCTAAGGAATTCTACCTTTTAATTATGGGCTAGTTGTGTCATACAGTTTGACCTACAAGTCACTGGTCTGCAGCTACATCTCTGTTATCTCCTTTGTGCATGCACTATGTCAGAGGTAAATCAATGAAATTGTCAGATTACAAAAAGCCCATGTTTCTTAGAATATAATGAGTTTTTGGAACCCTTTTCCAGCACCTTAATTATGAAAATAAACAGCATAAGTATATAAGCATCAACACATCCTGAGGTAGTGTGAAGGTCAGGAGAAAGAGAGTGCGCCGTCTCCTCTGGTGAAAGTGGATGCCCGAGAAGAGAGAGAAAGTGTGGAGGCCGTTACTAAGCTAGAAGGGGTTAAAGCAGAGTTTTGTTTAGTTGAGGAGGGAAAAGGAGAAGGGGAGGAGCAATGGGTGGAAGTTCAAGAGGAAGTTATAAAGGAGACTGGGGTGCGCGGGATTTTCAGGTGAAGACAGGCATCAAGAGAGATGAGAAGGAAAGAGCAAAGGCGCGCGAAGTAAAGAGTTTGCTGGATGATTTTCCTAACCTGAAAGTCGGAGGGCTTCTTCCAGATCCTAAGGTCAGACCAGAAGGGGTGGTGATACAAGAAACCACAGAATGGACAGTCGTGGTCTACCTGCGAGGTCAAGGTCCCTGGAGGAAGGTGGTCCGACCGGACGCAACCTTCAATCGACCACCGCTGGGGGGAGATTGGGCATGCCACCCATGCTGTGGAACTATATGCGTGGTGAGAAGTGCCCCCCTCAGGAAGCCCACTGACAGGGAGCGATTTGGTCCGGCTCCCCGGTATTGAAGAATGAGTACGTGGTGAACTCCTTTGGACAGTTAGAAAGAAAGTTGGACAGTTGGGACAGTTCAGAGCCCGTTGAGGTTGTCATTGACACTCCTATGTTAAAAGTTAATAAAGAAAGTTATGTTTCTAACTACAGTACCAGACTCCTAATTTCCCTATGCGACTCGGCGGCCCGTTCACAACAAGAGAACCTTTTGACAGGTAGCCATGAGCAGTTGCTGTTTGAGGCTGGCCAACAAAATGTCTTACACTGAAGTATTTCCCTCTCTCATGCTTGTCTTTAAAAAGCTGGATTAAAACCTGGAACTGAATCTATTTCATTTTACCGTTCCCGAGAATTTACCATCGAGAGAAATTACAGTATTGTTCTCCTCCATAGGGACTCTTTGTGTCACTTCTTCCCTAGTGTGGCACCATCTGCATGTGTTGAACTATAATTCCATCATCTCAGTCAGCAATCCCCACACATCTGAAGGTCGTCATAAGATAGAAAAAGGATACGTTATATTAGGCCAATGGTTCCTAGCTTTGTGTCACCTTACGTTCTCAGACTGCAGCTCTCATAATCTTTGCTGACATGGCCTATGATGAGGTATTATGTGATTTATGGACCAACAATATGTAGAAGCCCAAGGATGGAGACCATAGATCTGGATCATTTCACACAGACACGTCAGTCCTCAGCACACTGAGAACACTTGTACTTTGATTCATGTTGGTAACATGAATTGTGGTGGATCATCCCATCCCGCAGCGAGTTACTACATGCTGTTGCTAGTGATATCACTGACATCCTCACTAAATATGTGGAGATGAACTGATGAAGGGGGAATGATGATATCATGGGGCACGCTAATTAATATGTTATACGTACTGCACAGAACACTTGGCCAGGTAGGTGTTCAAAGTTCTCATTTGTGCAATTGCTGAACACATAAAAGGCTAGTGGGCAGGCTATTGAAAGCCATGTCCTCACATGGATCATGTGATTCTGTCAGTCTGTTTGATAATTACTTGAAAGTCTTCTCCATATGAACAAAAACCTTGACCAGCCAGGATTCTTGTTTAAAGAGAGGAAGCCTATGTTCTTATATTAATATGCATACTGGGCCATTTCACACTTCCACCATATGTGATGTCGATAAAGAGTATGGCCAATGGGTGAATTGGGGTGGGATTACGCAGATACAATCCCACTACATTCTCATACATTTTATATATTTGAACTTGCTGGAGGGAAGCTGTTTTGAGTGGTCTCTCTGTTGACCCTACAAATGGGGCCTGTGAATTTAGTTAAAATGGAGAAGTATTGACACCTGTCCTAAACTATTTGTCATTTTCTTCACAGGAGCAGGATGCTTCAGGGGCTTCTCCACTCCATTTAGCTGCTCGCTTTGGTCATCCAGAAGCTGTTGAGTGGCTGGTCCAGGCAGGCTTTGACACTGCAATGGAAACACGGGAAGGAGCAGTGGCAGGTCATTATGCAGCAGCAAAGGGACATCTCACATGCCTGAAAGTGCTGCTTGCTGCGGATCTCAGGTAGGCAAACACATAGCATACTACTTTTCAGGTACATGACACTTGCCCTATGTCATTCCCCCAATTGTACTGCTCGTGCAGTTTTGGAGAACCATACATGCATCAAAGTCAGGTAGGTATGGACACCAGGTATGTTGGACAACAAATCCCAGAATCCCATGGGAGATACAGTCTAAATGGGATCAGGCCTACAATTAAGCAGAATGAGGCAGTCCTAAAATAATTCTCCTAAACTAATCTACAGTCCTCAGGTATGGCAGAGGATAATGTCTTGTTGAATAAAAACTCAACTGCCAGTTCAGTTGGATTCTATAGAGAGAGTAAGAGTGCGGTACTGTTTGTTCTCCTTCATGGACATTTTGCATGTATACCTCTGGGAGTCTTGCACTTACACAGACCTATTCCCAGAATGTTCTAGAGCTGAGTAGCTTTTGTCAGGAACCTCATACATCTGACATGCATGCTTAAGTGCACCTCAGTTCCATTTTGTTTGAGACCTTGATTCAAATTTCTACTGTAGAATTTCTGCTGTAGAATTTACTGAATCTATGGGCCTCTTTCTCAGCTTAACCTACCTTATAGGTTTGTTGTGAGACAGATAAAACGAAGGCAGACCATGCCTGATGTTTTGGAATTCTTTGGGCCAAATGACAGTATGAATGTATAACAAACAAACTCCTTGTGCAGTTGCATATATTCATTAGGAGAAAATAGCAGTGAAAATAACCACATGAATGATGCTTTAGTCCTTTGAAACCACATAGCTAAGAAGGTAAAACAGCAGACTATCCTTCAGTGTTTTGTTTCCATGGCCCAGCATTTCCAGATGCCACTTGCACTTGTTTATTGAGAGGACAGAAGGCAAGCATTTGTGATCTCTGCTGAAGCGGATTATGTTTCCAGCAACATCCTCCATAGCATCTGCCCCATTGTTCTTACTCTCTGCATTTGGCTGCTTCTTCCCATCAGCTTTCAATAAGCCTAGAAATAAACCCTACATCATAAGATTGATGGTGCCTTCTATATGTACCTACTCAGAAGGAACTGCTAAAGATTTCAATGGGACTTAGCCCTAGGTAAATGTGTGTAGGGCAGCAATGTGAATCTGTGAACACGCAGGGCAACATATATATAAAATATCCATGAATCAACACCCCACCTTTTTTCCTTTCTTTTCTGTATACAGTAGTAGTAAGAGCAGGTGTATGTGGAGGGGGAGGCACTGGAGAATCAAAATTAGTGAGAACCAATTTATGTCAGAGATGTTTATCACTTTACATATTATCCAGAAGAAAGGAAGTTAAGAGAGAAAATAGACATGATTCCCCCCTGCTGGCAATTGCAGTAACTACTGAATATGGAGTTTCACATTAAATGAGCAGTGAAAAGGCTTGATTCTGGGTTCTGTATGTGAACACTCCATCTTCTTTTTTTTTTAAATTCTGCTATGTGGTACAGTGCTATACCAGATAGCAGCAATTTTTAAAAAATATATAAAAGCACTGTGCTTGCGGGAAAAGCCAGCACCCGCCCAATTGCTTGCCCCCTGCCTCCCAATCCTCCCTTCACCCACCCGGTTTCCCTTCTTCCCTCACTCACCCACTCACCCGCTTGCTCTTCCACCTTGATCAGTCACCTGCCCCCATGACTTTCCATCCTCACTCCTTGCCCCTTATTTCCCTTTCCATCCCCTTCCCTCTCGTCTTCCTGTTCTCCCTGCTGCCCTGCATCCTCGTGAGCAGACCCACCTGACTGAAGACAGCAGAGCTGGGCTGGCAAGATTAGCAGCAGGAGCAGGAGCAGGGGGCCTGCTGCCCTGCATCCTCGTGAGCAGACCCATCTGACTGAAGACAGCATTGATGGCAAGAGTAGGAGCACGAGCAGGGGGCCGGAGGTGGTGCAGTAGCAGTGGCAGAAGGGAGACCAAGGTAGCAGTGGTGGTGGTGAGGATGCACACACTGACACAAATGTTTTCTGCCTCTGTCGTGGTGGTGGTGAGGATGCACACACTGGCACAAATGTTTTCCGCCTCTGCCAGTTTATCCTGGCAGTGGGAACAGGCCCTGAGTATGAGGATGCATAATTTTACATTGGGTTTTGCCTTAAGTTAGACCTGACTGCTGAAATATTCTATTGATATTCTATTAATCTTTCTTGATATGAGCCCTCCTGTGCCTGAAAGGGCTGTGTAAGCCCTGCAGAAGTTGTTGCACTCTTACTATCCTCACCCTTGGTTGGGCTGACTGCAGTTGACATGAATGTGCTGGACAGCAACGCATTGGCCCCACCTTTCCATGACTTCCATGACTCTATCTTCAGAGGGACTCCACTGGGTCCCTTTGCTGTCACAAAGACTGTGCTTGGTAAGTGCGGTGACAGCCTTTTCAGTTATAACGCTCCAGTTATGGAACCCTTGGGCCTAAGGAGAAAGTCACCTGGCACCTTGACTGATGGCACTTCACCACCAAGCAAAGATACTAGAATTTCCTCAGATGTTTTATTTATGTGTCATGCTTCTCCTTCACTTGTTGCTTTGCTTCATCGTATTTTTCTTTATTTTATTCCACATGTTTATTGCCTTCTATACTTCACTTCATTGTAGGCTGCTCTGAGAATTATTTTGAAGGGCAGAGTATAAACATCCCAAGCAAGTAAACAAATGTTAAGAAAACTGCTGAGTCCCACTAGCACTTCTAAAATCTGGGTTGTAATTCCTCTTCTTCAACAGCTGTGTGAACAAGCAGACTCGGAGTGGAGCTACCCCACTGTACCTTGCCTGCCAGGAGGGACACCTTCACATCGTCCAGTTCCTGGTAAAGGACTGTGGGGCTGATGTGCATCTGAGAGCACATGATGGTATGACAGTGCTACATGCAGCTGCCTGTGGCGGTCATTATGCTGTTGTCATCTGGCTGGTAAACCTTCATTTTTACAATTTAAGTAGCAAGCATGGTTTCTTGACAACTGCATGGGTGTGCTCTGCTAGATATTCTGTCACAGAGCCTTCTGGCAAAATGGTAATGATCATTGTGCTCTAGCCAAGGAGATATTAACATTGCATCCAGTGGCCTTACACTTCTCAGTCATAGCAGCGGAGAGTTTCTTCCGAGGCTGATCAGATTTTTTGTACCAGTTTTGCTTGAAAACAATGTTTCTTTCCATTTTCTCTGACCTTTTTTGGGGTTAAAAACTATATGCAAGACCTGCATATAGTTATCAGTCTTACTTGTGGTGTGAGAGTGTCAACAGACTTCAATATAATGTTTATGGTTAAGCATTAAAATAGTTTTTGTCATTGTGGCAAAGTGATGAATGATACACCTCAGGTCTCTCCAGAGTCTTCCAGATCCATGTCTGGTTGCCTCACACTGAGAATGAATTTTGGTCAACCATCCCTTTAATGTTGTGTTTTGAACAAGTCAAAGTCAAAATAGATAACATCTGACAAATTATTTTCTTTTTCTTTTTTCTTTTTTTCTGAAGAAAGCTGTGATGCACTTTAGTGGGCTTTGGAAAAAACCAGAAAAATATTTGGAGGCATAGAGAAGATTAGGGCTGTTCCCTGTAACCACAGTAAGAACATGGAGACTTTTTGTTACTTTTTCAATTTGGGGAGCCTGTGGTCTCCAGGGGTGCTGGTGACCTACATTGGGGCCCTTGAGAGATATATGCATTCTACAGACACCTTTTGATGACCCTTAAATTATAGTAACTTGGTTGCTAGGGAAACAAAGGGGTAGGAGAAAAACTGAGTGTTCAAAGTTACAAGCATGCTAAAACTTAATGGCTGGATAAAGTCAATAGGAAACAAAAGGAGGACATTGAAGACTGATGGAGTGTAATTCTAGCTCAGTATTATAAAAGCCCTGCATTCCACCCAGACTGTTTTAGTATCCCACCTGTGTACAAACACCATGGCGAACCCCTGCTGTAGTTTGTTGTGTGTGGAAAACAAATTACTGAAATTCTGGGTATTTCTACTTCATATCTCTGCCTCCTCACCCCAAATCTCATGACAATTAAGTGTCTGAACCCAAAGTAGCATCAATGAAACAATATCTGCCAGAGAAAGGCAGTATTAATTCTGTGCGACCAGATCTCTTCCCGTTTTTTCTTTTGTGTAGGGAACGTTCACTGATATCAGGCTTACAGCACAAGATGCAGAAGGAGCCACTGCCCTCCATTTTGCTGCCAGAGAGGGGCATGCTGCCGTTGCTGACAGACTTCTCCTTATGGGAGCTGAGGTTGTGCTGGACCACTGGGGAGGAACCCCTCTCCATGATGCAGCAGAAAATGGACACTTGGAGGTATTTAGTCTTATATGGTGGAAGACAGTTTGGGTGGGGAAAAAGAGTCTCACCAGAACGTCATATTTGGCCAGTAGCAACCCTACCACTGACTCCTCCCTGGCCCCAGCTTCCTTGCCAAGAAACTACACTAGGAATATTTACCAGGTATATAGTAGGCCAAATGTACTTATTTAAATAATTTTCTCCTGCATCCTGTGCAAATAGCAGGACCTGGGGCATTTCTGCTGAGACAATGTAGGGAAGTGTTATAGTAGAGGGCCCAAAGTGAATGTATAATGACTTCCAGTGGGAAAAGCTTTGTTTCTGAGATATCAGCATGCCTTCCTTAAGGTTAATGGGAAGACGAGTATCATGGTTAGCTGGCTTTGTTGAAAATCTAGCCTTGTCATGTATCCTGCATCTAGTGCTGATAAATCACACAGTACTTCCATCTATCGCCACAGGCTTAAAAATTCAACCTGTACTGAGGGTAGAATACTCTGTGATGAAATTACCTGAATAGTCAAAGTCTTCTTGCCTGGACATAGGAAATTCAGGAATTTAAGAATGAAGTTTTCCTCCGTTCCCAACCCTGCTTTGTCCTCTCAAGATATTGTGGACTTTAGTTCCTGTCATCTTCAACCATCATGACACCAGAATTGATATGAGTGCAACATCATTCATTCATTCATTCATTCATTCATTCATTCATTCATTCATTCAGTCAGTCAGTCAGTCAGTCAGTCAGTCAGTCAGTCAGTCGTTCCATACAATACGAAAAGATTTTAGGGTGAGTTACAATCAATAGTGCCTCTTTAAACAGTATCTGGGGATATGCAGGGTGGTGTGGATACAGTGACAGAGTAGGACTCAGGATGCCTGGGTTCAAATCTCTGCTGAGCCCTGAAAGTCACTGAGGTGGGGGAGAGGAACTGGTAAAACACTCCTTGAATATCCCACTTACCTTGAGAGCACTTTGAGGGTCACTGTAAGCCAGTTCCGACTTACAGCAGTTTAAGGAAGGCTGCTGTATCGCTGATGCAACTGAATGATAGAATATTGCACGGAGAAACAATATTGATTTGCAGAGTCATCCTCTCATGCTAGTTCAAATTCATTTTGTCTACCTCCTTATAAAATGTGAGTGCAGATAAGCTTTAGGTTCATTTTAACTTCCAAATCATCATGTATTTGGCAAAAACTAGATTACAACCACCACATTCAAGTAGAGGAGGCTCAATCCTTCCTTCCAAGTCATTTTTCCTTCAACTGCCCACCAACACGACTTAGGTATAAAAAAAAGAAGAGAGAAAGAAAAATATCTCTCTTTGCAGCAGTTGATATTTTATTTTTCTTTTATAACCTTCATGCATGTAGGAATGAATTTAAGAGGGAAAATGGCTGTGAAAGGAAAGTTTAAGTTTCTTTTACTTATCTTTGGTAGTCCCAGCCTGGTCCAGGCCCAGATTTTTCAGAGTTAAAAAAGAAATTTAGGTTAACCTTTCTGCTATATTTAACATAGCATGTTGTTTAGCTACATAAACTACATAGCTGTAGTATGATGTGATTTTGAGGAAAATTCAAATGGAAACTCACAACAATTAGCCTGATGTTAATTGTTCATAGAATTCTTCTTTTCTTAGTGAGAATCATATACCTTAGCAGGATGCAAGCAAGTTTAATAAACTAGATACACAAAAAGCTGCTTTGGATAATTATCATTTTGGTCAGTTATGTGATCTATCCATCCCTAAACTGTTGCCACATATTACAACTATTTATGCAGCTGTAGGAAGTGCTCTGGCAAAAAGCTAACAAGAAAGTCCCAGAAACATTTCTTGGATTAAATATGTGTAAGTAAGTTGTGTGAATCTGGGTGACAGTGGATGTTTGTGTATTTATTTGCAGTGCTGTCAAACACTAATCTCCCACCAAGTTGATCCAGGCATCCATGATGTAGATGGTTACACTGCACGGGACCTTGCCGAATACAATGGACACAGGCAGTGTGCCTGTTACCTGCAGGAAGCAGAGAAACAGGTAACCGAAGGGTTATCTTTTGATATATATAAGCCTTATTTTCCTTATCAGTCCCTGGAAATATGTGTTCAAGCATTGCAGGCCCAGACTCTTAAGGAAGCATGCTACCACAAAAGGAAAGATGACCATGTTATGAGAATGGTTCTATGCTAATTTTCCAAAATGCTGTACTCCATGTTAAAAATGGAAATAAATGCTTGTAGGAGTGTTATGGAAGGAAAGTATGCATGTAACTCTTCACTACAACAATTAACTAGTAAGAGCATCAAGAAAATTAAGTATCAGTTGAAAGCACCTTTTAAAACTAAAAACAAATAAAAAGAACTGTTTGTTATTAATAGAGCATACACTTTTGTAAGTGATATTCTATGACATGTTGGAATCGGAATTGCTAGTACCAATTAAAAGCACTACATATATTGTAGAATCTAATCTTAAACCTCATCATCATCTTAGAACTGCAAGTGCTGGAATGGACTCTATGGATCATCACGTCCAGCCTCTGCCAAGAAAGCACAGTGGGGTATTGAACTCTTAACCTCTGGTTCCACAGCCAGATACGTAAACCACTGAGTTATCCAGCAATTCTTCTTCAACATCATCACTTTCAAGTGAACTTTATAGATCATGCACACAGTAGATAGGCTACATGGGTAGAAATGCACAAGAACTTCCTTCAGCATATTATTTATTAATTTGCTTATGCAAAAGCTTATACGCCACCTTTCTAGTGTTCACACACTGCTCATGATGCAGTTAAAAGTGATAAAACACACTGAAGTCATCATTTATCTGTGATAAACACAGATAGGTAATATAAATATAGAATGACATAATACTTGAGAAAAAAATGCTTGTTTGAAAAGTCGTGCTGCCCTAGGTGGTAAGGTACAGTCCAAAAGGTGCCAGCTTCGCTTTGTGGAGCAAGGAATGCCATATCTTGAATATGGATTGATAGAAGGAGTTTCACCATTGGGAAGTGCTTGCCATTTGGAGAGGGGGGTGATGATAGTCATGGAGTTTGGCATTGCAGGTTAGTTAACTTACTTTACAGGAACAGCAAGATTCTCTTGCGTATCAAGATGCATACTAAAAACAAATGGAGGTGTTGAGTTAGGGTGGCTCTTCAGCCAAAAGATGTTTGCAGAAGATATCAGTATTCCTGGGAAAAGCAAAGGATTGCAGAACACATGTCAGGTGTGGGGAGCAGAAGGAACAGCCCCAAAAACAAGTCATTGAGGAATGAGCATATTTAGGTGACTTACAGAATATTAAGTTTTATGGGTGGAGAGTGAAATGAGACATCCTGAAAAAACAAAAGTCTGGAACACTCCAGCTGCAACATCTTCTTCCAGGTCCCTGACGTCTGCTAGATATATTATCTATTAGATGGCTTATACGCTGGGACCATCCTCTCTGTTTGCACCTCTGTCCATTTGATCCTTCTCTCCATGAACCCATCACCTTGCCTCACTTATTTCCATGTAATGAAGCAGAGTTTGGAGAAAAAGAGAGGTGTCACTGAGAAGCAGCTGAACAGCAACAGCCAAAAGATCAGCAGAGGAGGCCCTCGTTTCGGTCCCATTGCCAGCAAAAGCACAGCTGATGGGGACAGGGGAGAGGGCCTTCTCGGTGGTAGCTCCCTGGCTATGGAACGTTCTCCCTTGGGAAATCAGGAGGGCCCCTTCCCTTTTATCCCTCAAAAAAAAAAATCTCTTCAGGCAGGCTTTTAACAATTACAACTGAATCCCTGAACCACATTTTAGCAGATAATTTTAAATCTTTTCCATGTTTCTATGGTTTGATCTTTTAATTCTATTCTAAGTATATATTAATTTGTCCTTTAATATTTCTTATTATATTTTAATTGTGTGAATTTTAGTGCTGTGAGCCGCCATGGGTCATTTTGTTGGGAGAAATGTGGCATACATATAAAACTAATAATAATAATAATAAATGCTGGAGTGAGAAGCCACAGCCCTGTTGCAGCCCTGTAGGAATTCTATCTGTGGCCCCACTGCCTTTCCAGCTATTTTTGGTTTGCTGTTAAGCAGAGTGGAAACTTTTCACCTCTGGCTGTCTTTGGCACAGGGTAATAACTGGGCAAGCATGTTGCAGAACGCCTACTGACTGCTTCTGCTACTCTTAGGACATGGATACTAGAAAGCAATTAGAAGGTGACCTAACATAAGAAGATAAGAAGGATAGGGAGGAGGAACGCACGGCTACTCAGTCTTGGAGGAGAGTCTTCAGCTGAGCACCTAGTTTTTTATGTCTCCACAGTAGAGGTTGTTTCTCAGTAAGAGGGAAACATAGCAGGGCATCATGTTGGCAGCATGGTGAACTTGAGAAGCTCGCTTTGAAATCCTAATCAAGCTCTTAAGTTTCACTAAACAAAGCCAAGTAAATCTTTGCCACAGCCTGAGATTTGGAACGAGGCCTTCTGAAACCAGAGCTCTCTGTCATCACTCAGTTTCCCAGTAAAATATTTATGGGGAAAAATATATCTCCAGCACACTCCATGGCAATAACTAATTAAAATACTGGTGCCCAGTTATGGCGGCCTCAATACAAGGACCACTGACTCTGACTCTCCAGATCTTATGGGCGAGCACTGTCAGGTGAAGCGATCCCAAAGTGACATTGTTCCATCTCTGAAAGAAAGACAAACAGCTTTGTTCGTACTGTAATTAAGTCCATGTTGTAAAACTGAACCTTTGAGATACCAAGCAAAGTTGGCATGAGGTTTCTTTTTTTTAAAATGTTTTTATTACTTTTCAAACAAAATAAAACATGGAATATACAAAATACTACTAATAAATCAACTTAAAAATAAGGTTTCTTAGAGCGGGGGGGCGGACAATATAGCAACTAGAAGCAGGGTTTCCTTAGCAGCTTGCTTTTGTCTGGTAATTGGTAATGGGAAGATGGGAATAGTATTTGTTTGGAAATTAATTGTTCAAACTGGGAGGTTTCCAAAAAGAAGTATTTTGTTGTTGTTTAGACGTTAAGTCGTGTCCAGCTCTTCGTGACCCCATGGACCAGAGCACGCCAGGCCCTCCTGTCTTCAAACGAAGTATTAGAGGAATAATATTTTATGATCTTCTAACTGCGAAGCTGCTATTTTGTCTGCTTATGCCCTTAATATTCCAGCCAAAATTTTGTAATAGTGCATAAGTCTGACTTATGCCATGCAGCCCCAGAAATCAAATGTTGAATTTGGAAACCAGACACATTTGCTTGTTCTCCATTAATTTTGGTATGGCGTTATGCATGATTGATTTGGCAAATTTCTACATGAGTTCAGTAAGCCGAGGCAGACACATTTCCTTGGAGAGGGCCAGGTGTCATATTTCTTCTATACTCCATTAAGCAACATTGACTTCATCCTACCTGATGTGACATAAGTCTGCCTTGACACTTTACAGTGTGGGACACTATGCAGATTTGTCTTTCTGGGCAATGAGTCCCAGAATTACTGAGGCAGGATAGAGTTTTAGTCCCCAACCACAAATCTTGTCCTTCTATTATAAATCATAGCATATGCATTATATTGGGACTCTTGACGGGAAGGGGCAAACATGTCTCTGTTGGCACTGTAAATATTTTCCCATTGCCTTTACTAGAAACACTGTGATGAACAGAACCCTAAAAAGAGAGAAGAATGGTATTCTATGGGTGGTTCCAGGCCAGGCGTTTTCAGTTATGCAATCACCATCTCTCATTCACAAAATGTTATGGTGGTTTCAGGGGACGCAATTATCCATTTATAACCCTGGCATTTTATTCTCTTTTCTTAACCACACACCAGATAAATGAATACATCTGTTAATGCATAGAAAATGTAAGAATCAATTAAAAACATGGCTGTTTCAGCAGGCCTTCCCATCAGATAATCCCTGATGCCCCCTGGCGCCCTTTTCTCCCTCTCTTATTGTTCCTCCTACTCTGTGTGATGGTTTTCTATTTAATAATTGTTTTATATATCAATTTTATTGTATTATTAATGTTGTTAGCTGCCTAAGTGGTCCTGATCCGACCAGATAGGCGGGAAATAAATAAATAAATAAATAAATAAATAAAGAAAGAAAGAAAGAAAGAAAGAAAGAAAGAAAGAAAGAAAGAAAGAAAGAAAGAAAGAAAGAAAGAAAGAAAG